AACTGAGTGAAATGTGGGACAACAAAACAATTTTCTTTGTTTCGTTGTTACTGTCATGACAGCATACATCAAGTAAAATATTTTAAACAGCATTTATTTTATGCATGCATATGGTTTTTATTGCATAACATTAACTGAGTCCATATGATTAATTGAATTTACTCAATTGTTTAAGGTAAGTGGTTGCAATCAAATTGATTTGATCTACATTTAAATAGACAAATTTAGTTCAAATAAAAAACTAAAAACTAAAACCAAAAAAACTGAGTAAATTGAACAATCTTTTTTTTTTTCAGTGTACTTTTTAAACGCTTCTCTGTAAAGAGTCTTGTCTCCCTTCATCCTCCTGTGTTCTGCCCCAAGGTGTTTTAGAGTGTTTTAAAGGAAAATACATCTGTGCTAGAAAGCTTCTGAACCCTTAAAACGTTCTGTATTTCTACATACATTTTTGACATCCATCTCATGTGATATAAATAATGTGAATAAATAAGTGAAATTATACATTATTAGCAGTCATGGCCTAATGGTTAAGGGGTCGGACTTGTAACCCAAAGGTTGCAGGTTTGAGTCTTGGTACCGGCAGGGATTGTAGGTGGGGGGAGTGAATGTATAGCGCTCTTTGCCTTCAGTATCTGGAGTGACCAACAAAGGTGATTTTCTCAGTATTTTGATTTATTTGCACCCTCAGATTCCAGATTTTCAAATAGTTGTATCTCGGCCAAATATTGTTGATGTATAAATCTCAATTTCAAAAAAATTGACCCTTAGGACTGGTTTTGTGGTCCAGGGTCACATATAATTTCTGCGCATTATATATATATATATATCAAAATAATCGATATTAAATCGAATCGAATCGCAAGCTTATGAATGAGAATGAAATTTGTGTCAAAACCCAGCCCTAATATACAGTATATAGGCTATATATATATTTATGTATGTATGTATGTATATAGAAATATAACACATTTTTAAGCGTTCACACAGACTTTCTAGTATCCCAGCGGAAATACTTCATTAAAGTGTAGCTGATTGCGAGGTGACACACCTGAGAATGGTGCGCGTTCACCGTGTAGTTCACTTTGCAATCTGGCTCCAGATCCTTCGGCTTTTCCCATGTCAAATTAAGTGTGAAAGGTGTTTCCCATTTTAAGGTTAGGTTCCTGGGTGGAGGGAGCTCTGTGGGGTTCAAGAGGAGAGGAACAAGGTTATGAAGACCGTAGGAGAAAGGAGAGAAACATAAAACAAAAACAACGTTCAACAGAAGTAGTAGCGGTACTAACATTCTGTTGTTTGTACTGTAGTAGTAACTTAATAAACTACTACGGGGAGCAAGTTGAGACAAGAATTAGGTTTAGTCGTAACACACTGGCGGGTGTTCTTCAGGAGAAGGTCTCTGACGTCACAGGTTTCGGGAATTATACAGGATATCCCGCACGCGCTGTCATAGGAAAACTGAAGGGAAACGCTACAAACAGCAGTAAACCCACCTGACACGCCGTCAGCTCCGACGAACATGAGTGAGAGAGAGAAGCATATCATTAAGGAGATATCCCAAACGCGAAACATCCCGTTGAAGGTTTTATCGGATGTTCTGTGTAAAATCCAATGTGAAGTCCCGTAATCCTGTGCTGATGTACTCAAAAACGCGATGTTTTTCCTTTACTTTTTAAGTGGTTGTACTAGTGCTCGACATAATACTTCAGCAGTAAATAGACGATCGGCGCGTCCGTCAGACTCGAGCTCAAAGCCAAAGAGTGAGTGAGCTTGTTGCACACAGTGACACTGTCAGACTGCAGTGGGTGGAGTGTGTGAACTCACTCACTCGCTCACTCTCACTCTCACTCACATGCTCTCCATGGATTAAAGAGAACCATTTATGGAATTGCGTCATTTCTACGGATTTGTAAAAAGTCTACTGAATGTCGAGTGCCCTAACTTCTAGTGAAATTACGGATATGGTCCCAGTCGAATTAGTGGAAAATGATACAGTAAGAATCACTGTATTAAAAAAAAATTTAATTAATTATTCTAAAACAATGCAATGCAGTGTAAAATACAAAATACAGGTAAAACATCTGTAAAAAATATATAAATACGGTAAATTCCTAAAGATAGGCTACATATACAATTTATAATACATAGGTCTACATACAAACAATACACATAACTACGTATGTACACAATAGACAAACCAGACAAATATGTAGTAGGCCTATGCTAAATAACATTTTCCAGGGAATGAAATATGCCAATTTGCATATGTTAGAAAGACAATAACGGGAATAAAGATGTATTCATTTATTGGCACTTTAATACATTCCTGTTAGAATGAAACTGCTGATTGTTAACATGAAGGCATTTTCTCTGAAATAGGCATTCATTTGAATATAAAGAAGTTGGTCAATTTATTTATACATTTATAAAAGTGGAAACTTCACATCAACCACAACATAAAAGTAATTAATTAATAATTTAACTTTCATAACATTCATTAATTTACAGCATGACAATAATTCACCGTTTTTGTCATCAACATGTGTTGTTTTTCTTTGTCCTACACAACATTTGTAGGCCCAGCAATTTTCTTGTACAAATCAGTACAGATTCAACAACTGCAACTCTTCAACTGCCTAAAACATCAAGACTAGACTGTGTTATGGTATATGAAGCAGACATCATGATGGATTAGTCATGTTATCTGTTAAACTGCAATAACCAGTTACATGTCAGATCAGATACTCACAGTAAAACCTTCCATAAGTGTAAGACTACTATATTAATCATCTCCAGTGTCCCTCAGGCAACAAAACGGATTGTGGACACCTTGGAAACATTATATGGATATGAATTTTAAAAATGCATCTTTAATGTTTCTAATGCAAAGGTAATACATTCTCACAGCAGTAAAGGATCAAATCTGAAACCTGTTTTACAGACAAGGGTCACAGATTTTATCTAACGTGTTTTTTGCAAGTATTTTCCCACAATTTGTGTGTGTGTGGAAAATAGACACGTCTTGGGAAAGCAGTATTTTTCAAAAGAGCTCAGAATAAACATCACCAAAGACATTTTTTTTTATTTTTTATAAATATTTACTTTATCTTATGAACTACAAATCACAGAGGGGAAAAAAACATTCATACATTATATGCTGACAAAACGTGAAGGAAATTATGAAACTAATCTTCGGAAACAGCAGCTTGTCTCACACTCTCATCTTTATAGCAAATTCAGTGTCCATTGCTGATCAGATGATTTTATTACTAGACCAGAAAATGCAGAATTTTTTACGATGATAACTGCTTGCAAATACTACTTTGTCAATACTGCATACATTTCCATGCGCGTGCTCACGCACACACAAATAAACACACACAGAATTTACAACAAATGGACAACTTCCTATATAAATCCACACACCCTCTGTTTGCAATTTGCATATTCAGTGCAGCAAGGTCTGATGAGTAGACCTACTAACAGCATTTTTGAGCATAAATCAGCCCTTGATAGGCTGTACTGGCTGTAACCATGGGCAGTTACTATGGACCAGCCCAACAAAAAACAAATGTTTACAATGGGAATCACAAAAATCTGCTTAAACTGAATATCAATATGCTGTTACATTCTGCAGTATATCATTCCTGCCGACAAAGTCAGCTGTTCTCTACCATCTGGGGTATGCATTCATTTAAAAAATGCTTTACATATATATATTTATATAGTATAATTGCAAGTCCAGCCTATTTCGATTTCACTGAATGACAGAAATTATGCACAATGATCTTAGTTCAGTCTTACAAACGTGCAGCCAGTCAGTAACCACTGCAGTGATGTGTACTACTGAAAATAGGGAAGAGGGATGGTGTGATTTGACCACATACAGTATCTAGTTTCAATTCTTCTTTTCGGCAGTTGGCAGTAGACAATCATGTTTCTTCCAAACTACGCAACATGCAGTTTGCACCAAGCATCAACCAGAAATAAGGGAAAAGTCAGCAAAAGAATATTATAATCATGATTTTCTTCAGTAAAAATGTCAATTCAGTAATTATATAAATAATGTAAAAAGTCAAACTTTTATTGTACCATTGTTTTCACCATTTAAAAAAATTATAAAACAAAATTAAAAAAAATGTACCTCCCATATACTTTTCTAGCTTTAAATGAAAGTTTGTAATGTTATTGTTCATCTCGAAAGCTAGTTGGCTTAATTTTTTATCTTATAACCAAGTCATTTTCAGAAGATACTGTACACAGAGAAAATGAATGGCAAAAATACTTTCAGAACCAAGGCCTATGAAAATGTGGGCGTTTACTTATTTTACTTTCATTTTTATAACTGTGAATTTAATAATTCGGTACAATGATTAAGTTATGAGCTTTATAATCACCTGTCATTTTCAGGTAATAAAACGGTCAATGTAAAACTAGTTTAATATGGAAATATTAGGCATATAGTATAAACTGTCCAGTTGATCTTTGGTGTGTTGGGTGCTCTACACTGCATGTTTTGTTTCCAGTGGCATCCCTGCAGACTGGCTGAGATGCAAAACAGATTGTACATCACAGAGAAAATGTACTGTCAAAATGTAATAGCATTGGTAACAAATTTTACTTAAATGTGACATACTTCATAGAACACAAGAAAAAAGAAAACTGGATTTTATACATCGATAACTGGATCATGAAAAGTGGTCATAGAGATGACTGGATACATGGTCTATAAAAAAAAGCCCAATTTCATCACATAAAGAAAAATCTTTGGTAAATCATAAATATGACATGAAAAGATGATGCTATTTATACAAAATATTCAAATTATAACATACTAAGACATAACTATTAGATAAAAAAAAGTTTAAATTATGAGATAAAATGATAATTATGACAAACACTTAAAATGTTTGACTGTTTATCACATATTAGAACTGTCAAAATTTTGATTTCATAATTTCAACTTTTTTGTCAGTTTCAACTTAATGTCATAAATTATGTCATTTTGTACTTTTATCTCACAATAATGACTTATGTCATAATTGACATTTTATATCATCAAAATGACTTGGCATATTATAATTTTGACTTGTGTCATAATTATGATTTAAGAAAGCATGACTTTTTTTCTTATCTGGTGGAAATAATGGTAAGTGAGTAAGAGTTGAAAAATAAGGCGGCCTAAAAGCAACAATGCTGCAAACATGATAAGCCCAGGAATGTGAATTAAGAAAATAAATTGGGTCACTTTGGACTTCATGATGGCTTTAAAATGAACTGTAAAAGCAGTATGTACACAAACTTGCTGTACACAATAAGTAAAAAACATGGCACGGAAAATGCTGGCATTCTCGTAGCCTGAAGAGATGCTTGCTGAAGGCCTAGAATCTTGATTTGTACATTCAGTTGTGAAAAGAGCTGATAATCCAGAACAATCAGGAGCAACCGTCAGGTTCTAGCTCAGGTCAGTGGAGGTTCCACTGATAGCACGGAACACGTGAAGAGAGTTCTGCAGCAGGGAACGCATCATATCCTCCTGGAAGATCTGAGGGGCGGCAGATGAAAACAGGATAAGGATTTCGGAATGAAATGGGAGCTTTGGAGTCATGTTATTAGCTGATAACAGAATATAATTTTAGGATATAGCAACTGCATGCACAAATATTTCAAAGAAAATAAGACAAATACTTTTGTGCAACAAAAGTGGTTACCTAGAACTCAATCTATAGGACACGGCAGCATAATGAAGAAAAACAGAGACACATTAGAAGCAGAAGTAGGACAGCATTACATTCACAATAACACCTCAAACAAAGAAGAAAAATAGCACTTTACAACCGATTACTTTGGTTAAAACAAGTACTTAGGAGTTTAAACCTGTGACCTACAAACTTTGAAACAAATGACCACATACTCACTTCCAGTAGCAGTTCAGTTTTTAATAATCATGATGACACAATAAGCCATAGTTACAGAGACAAACACTCGCTTGCTGCAATTCTGCTGGTGGAAACTACTGTGTGTTTAGACTAGGAACTAATCTATTTCCAAATGTCTTAATAGAATTATATCCTGTCCTGACAGAAGATGAGCGCTGTGTTGAAAGTACAAGTGTTTCCAAGAGCTCTGACATGCACTTAAAATAATGTGATTGTAATTTGATGATGATTTGTGTGTGAGAGAAAGTACATTCACATACAGGAGACGAGAACTGCCTGTTCATCGCATTAAAATTCATATGTATTAGGGATGTGCCAACCGGGTATCGGCTCCAATACTGCCATTCTTTGCCTGATCGGGTATTGGTCAGACAGGGCCGATCCAAAATCCGATATTGTGCATAATATTGTGTGTTACTGTTAAGCCGCACGACAGGCATAAAAGCATTATAAAGCACAATAAAGTTTTTGTGAACTATATTCCAAGTCTTCTGAAGTTTATTGTTGCTTCTAAATCATGTTACTTGCTACCGGGCGTCTGTTAGAACAAAACATGGGAGTATAAAAGACTAGATTTTATCGCACACAGTAACTGAAATTTAAAACTGTTAAAAGAATAGGCTCAATAAACGGTTGCACAGATATTATACACTATACGCATCAATATCTCTTCCCTTTGTGCTTTGAACTTTTTAATGTGAACCGCTGCCTACCTGATGTATTTAAAAGAAATGTCTTTTAATTTTTTAGTATTTATTTCTATATAAATATACTGTTTTTCAAGAATGGATTTTATGACAATGCAAATAGCAATGTGTAACATTTTACCAGATTTAGTGCTACACTTTTATTTGTTTCCCACTAAATAATGTTTTTTCACTAAATCCTAAATATTTGGATTTATAAAATTATTGTGCACTGATTTTTCTAGAATAATTTCTGCTGCTGAATTATCCACTAACCTAGTTTATAATATACTTTTGTCATAGATTATGTACATATCTTTTTTCATATTTTTATTTAACTTTTCTTTATAATGAAGTAGTCTGTATTCAGTAGATTGTGAAAGAGTGATTATCAGTTCCACACATAGAGATATAGAAATTCTACATTGGTTTAAAAGAAAAAAAAGAAAACAACTGCACTGGTCCAATATTGAACCCCAGGTATCGGAATCTGTGTATCACCAGCAAAGTCACGATACGATACGTATCACAATACAGAGGCCACGATATGATACGTATCACGATACGGGACTGCACTGAATTTCACCTCAGCAGAATTTGGTAAAACAGCTGTTTACTGCATACTATAGGGCCATTGCTAACTATTGGCAGAGCAGGCAGTTGACCTCTGCATTATGAAGGGCCTCCATAACTGTACCACAGTACAATATAGGTAATGGCATATGTTTCATGTTTACATTGGGCCCTCCCCACCAGGTACAATATTCTGATTGTTTGCATCTTGTTTTTAAGCCCATAAATAATAATGTACTCGTTCAAATAAATTTATATTGTAATGTACTCATTCTAATATATTAAAATCATCTTAACATTGCTGGTAGGTTATCATTGCACAAATCAACACACTCTCTAAGTTTAAAAAATAAAAATGAGAAGAGTTCTAAACTAATGCGCTGTCTTCACTGTAGCTCACTCACACACGTTCTAGTCACTAGATCACGCTGCGCGCGCACACAGACATTCTTTTTAATGCTCAGACAAACTTTTTAGTAATTTCGTATTCAAATTAAGCACGGTCCACTGCTGGGGCCATTCACATATCGCGTTTTTTTCGCGCTCGAGTTCGTTATTTCAAATGAAGACGCGCGGCAGGCGCGCTCATAATGGAAGCGACGCGGTCGCGACGCGCACGCGGTGCGAAGCGCTCACTTTTTCCAGGCGCTTCCGCGCCGCATAGAGATGAAAACATTTCAACTTTTCAGAATGCCGCAAGCACACCACGGGTCATGTGACAAGAACCAACCAATCAGCAGATGAAGGAACAGCTGATCATAGCTGTACAGGGATAGCCATTTTTAAATAAATTTAGTAGCAGAGCTACTGCAAGCAATTTTTAGTGCTGAAGAGAAAGGAAAACTTGAAATCGCATCATATGACCCCTTTAAGTTCACTCGTCAAGAAGACTAAATCAGATTAACTTAATGACAAATGTACTTCTAGGGAAAAAGACTAAACTAGATTAAGCTTAACCAAGCCAGTGTTTAGCTAGCCTAGTTTTTACTATGTTCACTTTATCACTATAAAACCATAAAATCTTAAACCATACAGTAAATTCGAATTAAAAAAATGGTCTGAAAATTCAATCCATTCATCAGTGGTTAATAACCAAGATTACGATGTTTTTTTGTGTGTTTTAGACATATAATATGACTTAGGATTAAACTGTAAATGAAGAAATAAATATGTGATGGCAAATAATTAAATGGAACTTGTGAAACCGGTCCTTCGTCAAGGTTTGCAAAGCAAAGATATGGGGCTTTGTGCTTCTAAAGAAAACCAGCAAAGTGCATTGATGCTTTGATAACAAGTGCTAAAAGTCCGTGATGTGCACAAGTATGCCATGGTGTGCACAAAAAATGTAATGGAGTTGTCAATTAATTAAACTTTATTAAATACGTTACATTTTAAATCAATTCCATAAAATGATTAATAAATCCAAGTATATATATTGCAAGCCCCCAAATGAAGGTAATTAAAAAAATATCACTGTGGCAGATGGGTAAATCATTAAAAATTCTTAATAACAATGGTCTTTAATGTAGATGTCAATAATTCACACTAAGTTGACACATTCAATTAGAAACCATGGTAATCTGCATTTCCATTTTTTTCAGTCTATAAGACAAGTGTCAAATCACAAGGGTAAATACAGAAAAAAGTTATTCTTAGTAAACAAAAACAACACCAAAGTGAAAAGTATTTTGAATCGTTCACTCTCAAACTCTTCCTTCAAGTGTGTCTTCTCAGGACACAATCTCTCCAGGATAACTGAGCGTGCAAGACAAACCAGATCAAACCTGTTGTCCTTTCACTGTACCAAATAACAAACCTGTCTGCCAATCACTGACTTCAAGTCATAAGAGGAAAGGTTCTAAATAATAATTTCTAAAGCAGTGAAAACATGAAGTAAATTTTTTTTGTTTATTTGTTTTGTTGTTTTTAACTGAGGGAAATGGCCAGTTAGCCCATTTCCTGGAGTCTACATGGACAAGAGTATAGACAGATTTAATCCTAATTCAGTCTGTAATTGCTACAAATTTACTGCAACCGCAAAAACCATCAAAACCGTTACACAGGGTCCAAAGTTAAAACTGGCCAAGCAAACAAATGCTAGCAAAAACTGCCATTAACATGTGAATGACGACCTTTAAATCTTTTAGGAAGTGCATCATAATGCACAGTGCCGATCAAATCAGACATAAACGAAAACAGTGAAAGCAATCAAAGAGAAAAGGTTTTCAGATTTTCAGATCGTTCAGATTTTCACATCATCAGGCAGCAATAAGTTTTTTGTCTTTTTTGTCAAACAACTTTATAACTTGGTGTGGCAATACATTTCTGGGGTTTAGGTACCGAAACAAAAAATGAGGAACAAAATCATGATGGGTCAACAGTTTTATGAGAAGTGGCAATTCACAGAGAGACCATCACAGGACATCCACTCTTTCATGAACAGCAGATTCAAGGACTTTTTAAAGCACCATTTATTTTATATCAAGCACCTATCAAATTCACACCCCAGCATTCGTACCGTCATGAAAGACCTCTTACAGAACTTAACATTTCACTTACACTTAACATTTACATAAAACTTTTTAAGAGTAATAATGATATTTTGAATGTGTAGGTTTCATAAAATTAGACCGTTTTGAGTCTTGTTCAAAGGAATTTAATGAAATCCATTGAAGTCAATACTGGTAATATTCAAATACAATTTCTCAAATATTGATAAAAATATATTTTCTTGCATCAAACTGTTTTTTTGCTGTAGTTCTTGTACATTTTAGATTAAAATTTTAAAGAATTTCTCAATTTTTAAATGAATAAAAAGTGGTTAAATGCTGTAATAACACGGTAAAACCTGTTAACATTAAAAATGTGCACATTCACTAAATAGAGACGTTACTCATTAATAAATAAACTCAAGTCAAAATTAT